GTGCTGTATGACTCATTATCCAAAGCACCTAATCAAGTGCATTCAAACTTGATTCAGCGCCTTCATTACTTTTACGAATTTTACGTATTGTATATAAAAATAACAATATCGACAAGTAATTATTACTGTTATTAGTATTTCTTGCTAATTATTGTTTGCATTTATTTTTGTCAATTTCTCCTTTGCAATAATTTTGAGAATATGGCTGTATGGTATAATTTTGCTTTTATTTTGTAAATACTCCTTATTTTCTTGACGTGATTTCAGAGGAAAGAGTCGTAAAAAGAAAGAAAGTAATAAATAAACACAATAAAAGCAGACGAACAAAGAAAGTAATTAAAAATACGAAAGTATTGTGGAAACTGAATTTAAAAATGGATTGGAGAATTAAGACTGAACCGGTTCACTTCTTTACAGCGACTTAAACAAACGGAATGACCTCTTACACTCATCTGAATGGGTCTTGTGAATAACTGTAGTAGTGCAGAGGAGTGCGACCTGACTTACTGACGACTCCTTGCCCTTGCACCTGAATAACTTGACTCCTTGAGCAAGTTAATAAATGATCATAGTTTAGGTTAATTACAATTTGGATTACCTCATTTTGCACGAAATTAAAGCGTAATTACATCTTGATAGATCCCGTGATTGGGAGGAATAAAATTTTTCTGCAATCTGTGAGCATTTGTGATCAATACTTTTAGTGAGTTCATTTATTGAGAAGTGATCTTTTTTAATTTCACTGAATGCTACTCAGAATGCACATTTTAGTGCTTTCTAATTCTTACTATCTGCCCAACAAACTTTAAAATTTTCAATACTCTTTTACACATTAATCGATTTAGTAAGAGCAATCGTTAATTTTCAAGTTCCTTATTAATAATTCTTTTCTCACTATTTAAAGTCAAAGGTTAATTAACGTCTGCTTATATACGTAAAATGACACATTTCACACATTCACTCTTATTTTTGGAAAATATATAAAAGTATTCATAGTTTATTAATAACAATGGCAGTAATAGTATCACAAAAATAGTAATTAATAATAATAATAATAATAATTAATTAATAACCGTAGTAGTTTTGATATTGACAGAAATTTCAAGCAGCTGAAATGCAAAAAGAGGGTAAGATATCTCAATTCTGATTTCGCTGTCCATAGAGCAAGCATGGAACAGAAACAGCTATATGAACAATCAAGAATGCAAATATATATTGTGGCTAAACAAACGAAGCTGATTTAATGAAAAATTCAGTCCCAGTGCCAAAGTTAATCTGAAAATCTTAAATATGTATTGAGTGCTATACTTCACTACTGTATCACAGTTTGAAATGGTAGCAGTAGTGGTAGCAGTAATGGTAGTGGAAGTGGTAGCAACAGTGGTAATAAAAGTATTAAAATTAAATTTAGTTGAGGGCCTGAATTTACTTGGGGAAGGCATAAATCCGAGCTGAGGTGCAGAAACACAATACTCAAAATTTGTTCGAGGAGAGAGCATTTTCAACTATGTGCAATGACTGTGCTACTAGTATGCCAGTGCAACAAAAGCAAATTAAAACATAAAATAGCAAATATCACTCAATTTCTACTCAAATAAATATTATATACAATTTCCTTTGCACATTTTCGTTGCACTAAATTTACTAATCTCTAAATAATTACCAATTTGACCAGAGAATTAATTTGCAAGCCAAATGTTTTCGGCCTAAAAGCGTAATATCACTTATTTATATGTAGGCGCTATCATTCTTCATGCACGCATAAATATTTGCGACCAGTGATGATAACACCATTTCTGATAACAATTGCAAATAAGTGTCTACAAATGAGAGGAGAAATGCCTAGCTTCCAAGTGCAAACTTGATGACTAATTCTGAATTGTTATTTACGAGAACAAAAACTGACAAAGAATTGGACCTTCCCCATTTCCATCCTTTACTATTGCTTCATTTATTTTGCACAATTTGCATTACTTAAAAGACTTGACACTACCAAATCCATGTGCTTCTGTCCCGTAATTGCTGGCAAATCAAGCAGTATGCCCAACTCAATAAATGGTCTAGCCCATTCGCTTACTCCATTATAGTGTAGCGCATACACTCCAGATCACTTATTATTATCAGCACTGCACAAAACGTCAACAAATAAATCTGCAGTACACAACTTTTTCTCCATTCCTCTGACTCAAAATAAACGAAATATGAACATACTGACACTAAACAACAATACTATTATTTGACAATATCACGGACGTCATGAAGTGTTACAGCAAGACTGCATGGTACATACTGTAAACAATGAATGAAACATCCCATTACATTCATGGTTAATATGACACGTTGAATTTTAAAAAAAGAATTAGCAATTTACATGAAACTGAGGTAGCGCGTCTACAACAATTTAATGACACACAAAACTTCAAAACTCATCTTCTGCTGTTCTTTAGTTGGAGATCAGCACACAAGTGTTATATTCATCAGATTTTTCTTTCTTCGTGGTATCAATGTAATACATTTAAACTTTGTTTCAAAATAAAAGTATATTGATGAGACAGTTTTAAAATAAAAACATAAAAACACAAAAACATTTTTAAAATTATTCCAAGTATCTTGCTATCAAATACAGTTCAATAATTTTTAAATCACAGAATTAAATCAGTAAGAAAAACAGCAATCTTAAAAATGCACGAAGCTTGTTTGAATTTTAATATACTTATTAGATTTTTTTTAAAAAGACGGAAAAAATTTAGAAGCAATATTAGGCTCTATATTTTCCAGCAAGAGATAACGATTTCTTGGCCATTTGAACTGCTCCTTCAAATGTTGTGTTGCCTCCAATGAAACCCGTTGAATGAACAAAAATACAATTAGGTATTTTTGCTTTTTCTGACAATAAAACATCACGAAGACCAAGCCATTCATCAGGCAAAGGCACTCTGGAATATGGAATTTTCTGATCATAATAATCCTCACTTAAAAAAATTTAATTTGCGCATTGAAAATCTCAAACCTGCTTTTGAATGGTTCTTTTGCACTGACTGGTATAGCTTGCACCTTAAAATTTGTGGAAGAACATGAATCTGCAAATATGACGTAAGTAATCCCTCTGTCTCCCAGCTTCAACTCTTTCTCAATAGAAAAAAAATGACTTTTCCACGGCACATTACCATTTTTCAGATATATTATTTGACCACTTTTGTCTACCTGTAAAAATTTTACTTTACTGCACTCTACTTGCTATATATATTTTTAGCTATTAAGTACCAAGTCATAATAAAATTATCGTCAATAATGACATGATTTTACTACACGTGCAAGACAAGCTTTTGCGCCTCTTAACACATGATAACAAAAATAAAATACACGTAATATTAAAATCAAAAAAAAAAGACATTCATCCAGATTTCAGCCTGAAGTATGATAATTTTATAAATAAAACTTGTAAATAATCTTCGAAATTATCTAACCACACTTTAAGCAAAAATATAAAGACGCGCGAAAAAAAACAAACGTCAAAACGACTATTGATGGCATTCACAACAAAGTCACGTGCTGGTAACCAAGATTTGGCAAGATACTCGACTCTTTCAGTGAATTCTACTCCAACTAATTTTAGTGCAGCCATGAATCTACGATGTATTACTACTGGTTTAAAATTAAATGCTTAAATTAATCATAGCAAAAAAATTCTTGCAACAAATTGAAAACTTGATTACCTTTCATTTTCAATGCCTTTATCTTCATTCCACGCAGGATTCAATATTGAAACTCGAGAAGATAAGGTACCACCCAAATAATACCTTAAATTTTTTAGAAACTATGAAAGTAATGTCTACAAACAATACCATTAGTTTAATCTCAATTACATATTTAATAGCAAAGTTTTGAAGACCAAAATACAAGATTTTCAAACTCTTTCCACTGAGGAAAAAACCATATTCAAATTTAACTGTTCTTAAATATTTTGCGTAAAAGGTTTTTTTTTTTTTAAATTACATTCACTAGAAACACCTCAAAATAGACGCACTTGGAAAACTAATAAATCTACCTCGGCTCGCCATCATATTGAGAAATTCCATTATCTATTGCATCGACAGATTCAACAAATATCTCATACATTTTTCGATATAAAATATCGACTACAGGATCAGAAGGAGATATTTTAAGTAGTTCATTAATGACACGCTTACCAAAGTGGGCATAAATTAGACCAGCTGAACTTAATTTGGTGTTGTAATGTAAAACTTTTAATGAACTCATGGTATGAACGAAGTCCCTGCAAAAAAATAAAGACATGACAGCTCTAGAATTTAAGAAACAATTTATAATTTGAAACAAAGAAATATAACAGAACTTTTTAAATCATTTGAAAAGAACCAATATATATAACTGAAAAGACACAAATCAAATTCTAAGATTTATATATGATGAAAAATTAAAAAAGAGAAGTTTTGAAGGACAATTTAATCATCACTGCTATTGAGTTACTTATTATGCAAATTAAACATTCCAAATTCTCTCGCACAAGATGCATTCTTAAATTCGAAAATATTACTCAGAATTCAATTCAAGTAAAACGTAGTAAAGGTACTACAGAGATTACTTATATTTGCTTCAGATAAAAAAGAAAACTTACCTTTGATGATGGTCGTATCTCCTAGTAGCATGATCGTATTTCCCTCCAACATCAACCAAAATATCACAATCATTTAAAATTTTCTCATCACGTGTCCTGAAAAAAATTGACTCCCAAAGTTTTCATTACGAATCTTGATAAATTACACAATTTCTAATGAAATAAACAGTAAAAGACTTGGACGATGAGTAAAAGTTTAAAATAGAAACTTATACTACATGTATTCCTAAAAAACATTTTTTTCAAATCAAGCAATGCATATGCAAAGAATGAAGAAAAGTTGTAGACACGAACGAGAACGACTGCAGCCATTTTTGAGTGCCAAAAGATTATTAAATGAAAACATTTGCATCGTTAGGCTTTTTCCTAGAGAAAACCTACATGCACTAGAACTTTTGTAATTTAATATCAAATTCTAAATACTACTTACCGTACGATTTCGAAGTTAGCGTATTCAGGAAGTGATTTTAACAAAAAAATTGCTAACACCTAAAAAATAAATTTTTGGAACCAGATATGAAAATTACAAATTGAAAGTAATCAAACACAATCTTACATATGTAAGATACATATGTAAACAAGTAATCATAATGTTAATTAACCGTATATATGCTGAAAAACTAAAATGAATTTTTAGCATATTTTCTAACTATTTTTACACTGTGATTCTTTTTGCCTGTCAATTCGTTTTCTAGGAAGGTAGAAGAGTGATAAAATTTTAACCTCATCACAATGAAATGTCCCATTATGAGTACCAATTTTCGGCATTGTTCGAGATCACAAAGACGTAAGTGAACAGAAACCACGGAATTTAAAATAACTAGTAGAAAAAGGTTGGATGAACAGTCAAACAAAACAATTAAATCTCCTGAAACAAGATTATCAGATATTAACAATGAATCTCAAACGATTTATTATAAGATAAATCATTCCTCGTCACGCACGGAAACTATACATAAAATTAGAGCTCACGAAATAACATTAAATGCTTCACTAAGGTTAATTCCTATTGCATCAAACTACATTTTTTTGGTAACTACTGATTTTTTGTTTCACATTTTTTGTTGTTTCAATGTTTCTCTAAAATTTCTATAACTATTACAGAAGTATTATGACAGAAGTTGTTTATTGGGAAATTTCTTGAAACCAATTTTATGCTCAGACAACGCACTTCGAGTGCATAGAAATCAAATTAAAAAATAAAATATATGGTATGAAATTAGTAGTGATTGGATCTTAAAAGACACGCTGTTTGACAAAACAGGCATAACTCTCTCTACAACATGAAACACATTCTGAGACCGAAACTAGCAATATAGTAAGATTAGATCAGATCATTCCAGATTAATCTGATCTTTTCAATTATAAGTCTCATTTTGCAAACACTCTGACTCACAGATCCGTCTTCGCAGTTAATTCCATCACTACACTTTCGCAGTTTAATAAAGAATTTCGATATAAAGAAGAAAGGTGGTAGCAACGTACTATCGAGAACTGATATTCTCGTTGAAATTAACATCATGTTAAACAACATCTTTTTTGTGCAAATACAACGTGAAGAATACAAATGACGTGCAATATAACTTCAATGAATATATTAGTTGAGTTTGTCCCTTTTGAAATGAACACAAATTAGTCAACGTAAAATACGTCATAAGTTACAAATTATATTTCTGGACAATTATATTTCAAATAAACGAAAAGGATTGAAAATTGGATATTTAAATTTTCTCTCTTTGCGTACTTTCAAATTGGCTAAGTAATGTAGCGAAGCGTACGTTTTTAAAAATGTGCGCGTTATTGCGCTAAATACAAAATTCAAATTAACACAATCCATTCAGCAAAGAAAAAAGACTGGCAAATAAAATTCTGAAAGTATTTCAGTGCGAGACTAACCTAACCCATACAAAATATGTCATGCTACTGCATTATGCATGAGACACAGAATTGCATAAAGCGCGAAAATCAATTATCAGATATTGGAAATGTGCCACGGAAGCATAGCGTTGTGACGAGAGCGTTAGTTGACCTAATAGTTGGTATAAAGGTGGAGGGTTGAACTGGTTTGACTTATGGTGAGGTGCTGTAGACAGTATTATTTTTGTGGACTTGATCTACTGTAGCGATTGAATTCTTTAATTGCTCCAATCTCATTATCAATTACTACATTCTATCATTTGAATTGCTCATAACTCTGCCCGTATTTAAATTGAAGTCCATTTTCTTATATAATTCTTTAATACTTTCTTCATTAGCGAGAATTGCTGCTTACTCTATCTTACTACAAGATGCGATTAATTGCTTATTGATTTGCAGTTCAGCAAATTAATCTCCAGTATTCAATCCTGTTATGGCTGACATATTAGACCAGCCAGATAATGACATAGATTTGTATGGAGATGGAGAACTGGATGGTCACTATAGCGAACGTGATGTTCTCGGGGATGATGATGATGATCTTACACGGTTAGCATGTTTTTATCTCTTTATCAAAAGTTAGCCTTCCACTAAGCCATTATATGATCCAAAAAAATGTTTATATAAATATGAATGGAAGGTAAGATTTATTTTCATTCATAGACGTCCCATTGTTTCTTTTAGATTATTTTCCGACTTGATGAGCTGTAGGCTATACGTGCTGCA